ATATATATATATATTTTTAACCATATAATTGCTGAGCATAAAAAAGTTAATAATAAACAAAAAAGGTATCGGAGATTGCATTAAACTTATTTTCCTTTATTAAATATATAAAATTTTTCACATTAATTTTTAATTTATTGTATTTTTTTTTAAATAATAAATAAAATTAAAACAATACATCAAATGAAACAATTTATTTTTCTTCATTATTCTAATGATGATTTACAACATTTATGATAATCTCGTATAAACAAATGCATTCTTACATTTCTAAAATTTACGATCTTTAATTATTTTAATATTAAAAAATAATATGCTCCGATCCCTGATCTTTGATCTCGTGATGCTATTAATTAATACGCTCGAATTTGTCCCCGTCAGTCCCGTGTTCTGTGGTGGGTACTGAAACAAAAAAATACTGGCTAGTTATTCTATAAAATCAGATATAGGAGATCACATACGTCATACGGTTTCAACAAATATAAGTGCCCACTTTATTTGCCATAAGGGATGGTTAATATAATTAAGTATTGATATCTAATTCATATACAGTCTGACCTCGATATAACGAACCCACGATATAACGAACTCTTGACTTACCAAACTTTTTTTTAAAAACCGGGTTCATATTATTTAAAAAAATCTCGATATACCGAATTTCATATAAACTCGATATAACGTATACCGAACTTTTATGATTTACCGTTTATAATAAAGCATATAAAAAAAATTCTTTATATACCGAACTTGATCACGTGGTTGAAATTTCACATAATTTATACTGTTAAATCTTAATTTCTGGCCAAAATTAATATTCTTTAATCACGTGATAACTTTATATACCGAACTGTTACTGTAAAACTTATGGAGTTTGGTACACAAAAAAAATTTACATACCGAACTTCTACTATATAACGAACTTTTGCCCTTGAACCGCGAGTTCGTTATATCGAGGTTTGACTGTACTTAAAAATTTTTAAGCTGGTTTTTTACAAAAATAATACTTATTAAAGCTAATGAGTAACACAATACTCAATTACATTAAAAAATTCACGATGTATTACATTTTTAAGGAAGCGTTCCTCAGTTTTTTGCATTGTATAGTTACATATATATCACTAATCTCGTAAGAAATGGATGATACAACGTCTCAGTAATAATACATAAACAGGAATCAACTTTAAAATACAACAAAGGCCATGGCGAATGAATAGTTCAACACTAGGCAACGAATAGTTCTCCAGTGCCATGGGAGGCCAGAGAAGAGAACAGATGAGTAGTCAGTCTTCCAGTTGACGAATAGTCCCCTGGCTCAGTCCAATATCTCTGTTACCTCTTCAGATTTGTATCAACAGAAACAATGAATAGTTGCTTATATTGAATACAATCCTATCCAAAATAGATGCTGTATACCTTAGTGCTCCTACCGGGTCAAGTCAGGTTGGATTTTGAGGAAATATTCGACCCGATCTGAATAAAAAAATATAAGACTCGTATTTATTCGGGTCTCATATTTTCGTAACCCGACCCTTGACTCGACCGAGTATAATTTAACTCATGTAACCCAGGTTAAACCCGAACATTTAAGTAAAATGGGTACTAACTTATATTATGTGAGATTTTCTTATAATAATAACAAAATTAATTTTTTTTATTTGAAAAAAAGGCAACTTAGTGATTAACCACTAGTAGCCACCTGAAATTTGTATCATGAATGGTTATACAAAACATGTAACACTAGCTCTTATTTTCTCCTAGACTAATTAAATAAAATAAAATTAAAAATACGAATTTTGAACTTGGTTTAATATAATAAAAGTCAAAGAATTAGGCAAAATAATTAGCAGATATTCAAATCAAAGATAAATTGGAATTCTAAAGCTATCAGAAAAATATTATTCTCAAAAGACAAAGGTTAATTTTTTTATTTTTCTGATTAAGCTATGTTAATATTTGTTAAAACTAATTCTTGGCTTAATTTTGGCCAAAATTATAATTTTCCCAGAATTAAAAACATCCGGGTCGATCCGAGTCAAACCCGGGTTAAGGAAATTTATAACCCGACCCAGCGGGTCAGGTCATGCGGGTCATGCGGGTCACGGGTCATTAAAAATCGTTATTACCGATCTGATTTAAAAGTTGAGTCAGGTCAAATTAACCCGGGTTGACTCGTATCATTCGGAGCACTAGTATACCTTAAAAGCTATGTGTAGATCAGACACCTTCTGCCATATATCATCTTTAAACATATTGTTATCAATAATCTTCTTGTTGATATAATCCAGAATCTTCATTATATGATGCACACCAATCAGCAAATCCTTCAAGATTCCATAACTCTGGCAAAGTGATTTGCAAATAATCCTTAGTCTCAGTCATATTAAAGAAAGAGAAGGGAAAAAAATCTGCATTAAAAAATCTGTATTTTTCAATCAAGTCATCAAGACGATCAAGATTATATGACGATTATATGACTGGCAGAATAATCATGCCTCTACTGGAATAGGCTGTACATCTGCAGTTAATTCTTGATATATAGGTTATTACGTTTTGATACCAATAAGCAAACACAATTAATATAAGCAAAAATTTAGATGCAAATGCCCAAGTGGGCGAAACTTTATTAATATTTTAAGATAAATAAAAGTGGAAAATGGTAGAGAAGCAAGCAAAATATTTGATTCTATCAAAGAGGGAGTACATAGATCCTAGGTCATTTAATGCGAGTCCCAGCATCAAGTTATTTCTTTGTTCTCTCACATTTTCTACAGCTAATTTGTTTCTGCTAATTACGAGATTCTTATAACAATACTCTTTTTTCTAGGCTAGAATTTCAAAATAAATTACACTACTTATACTCTACAGAATTTTCATCTATCTATAGACTCTTCACACTTCCAACCAATAGAAACATGATCTACAAGAAATAATGGTGGCAGACTGTGTTCAGGCTCATCAAAATTGCGCAGAAGCAGGATCAGCATCCAGTTAATATTTTTTACACATATAAGTAGGATTAGTGTCAGGTTAAATTTATCTCCTGAAACATGCATACAACTAGTTTATTTTTCTTATAGTAGTGTTTGGACAAGCTTGTCTAGGCTCATTTCATCATAAGGTGCAGGATGTGATTGCACTGCAGGAAATAGCCTAACCATTAAAAAGGAAAAATTTTTTTTCCAATACATACTGTGCTTCTGGGACCATTTGGTCAAAATGTGCCAAAAAGCCCATTTTTCTACTACTAAAAAGTGTTGAGCCTGTATACTTTATTAATAAATAATAAAAAGAATTGCTTGAATAATGTATTTTAAAAGTAAAATTAAGAGAATTTCTCAGATAACTTGGTAATTAAGACCAAGAACACCTGCCTCCCATTACTGATTGTTGTCATTGCTACTTCAATATGAAGATCTCTTGGTTTCATCTATAAAATATAGTTACATTTCCAGGAAATTGGATATAGATCTAAAGAAGAATAGAAATATGACTTGATTGGTTGTGGGATCATGCAATACAAACCACTGAACTGGAATAACAACATTATTACCATCTGTAAAAAAAATAATGTGTGGACATCTGCTGCTAGCAGATTCTTTACCCAAAGAAGGATCTTATCTATCAAACCCAATTATTGTGAATGCTAAATTTTTTGGTTTCAAATTATTAGCTTTCATCTGTAAACCAGTATCATTAAAACTATGCAAGTTTTAGCTTTGGTAAGTTATCGAAAAGTTCATGGATCTTCACATGTTGAACTTTTGCAGACCAATTAAATCCACTTCTTTGGATTGTTCTCTGTAAACATCTGCCAACTTGCAAGGTTTGGATTATTATATTGAAGCAATTGTTAATAAGATATTATGAGAAACTGCTGCCCCACAACATCTCTTTAATGTTCACTTGGTTTTGTTTGTGTTTTTGTTTGAGTTCCTTCATTGTGAAATTATTTAAAATACATTTTCAAGAGTTCAGAAGAATAAAAATAATACCTTAACTTCTTATATATATATATCACAGTATGGCATGTCTTTCTAAAAATGGCTTTATATGTAGTGCAGAAGTAGTGATCAATCTTATGTTTATCAAATGAATCAGGACGTTACGTAGTACAATTATGTCACATATGACAGGCGTATTACTCAATAGCCAATATTAATACTCAATAGTCAATTCAATTAAAAAAAAGATAAGGAAACGTGATAAAAAACGAGTAGTAAAATAGTAGTAAAATTGTAAAAGGCCGTAGCAATCACCTAATGATTTGCAGGGGGTAGCGATTGTTATCTCATTTTTACGTATTTTCTCTCATAGTAATATATGAATGTTATCGAAGAAAATAAAAAATATGAAATTAACATTATTTGCGTAATTTACTTTATATTCTGGTATGTATTTATATTGTCATAACGTCCGTATGAAATCGGTACATGTTATGGATGTCATAAGTGTATGTACTGCGGCTCTAATTGGAGTGCAAGTGTAATAAAAGGGTAAAACCTATCGTATGGACGATCTTTGACAGTAATCTTATTTTTAGTAAAAAAGCCTTTATTCAAAGCAAAAATGCACTCTATTCTTATAACATTGACCTGGAAAAAGTTTAGTTCAATTTTTGTTCTAAAGAAACCAACAATTTCATCTTTTGTCTATTTCGTCTTTGATCATCAGGTCAGCTTTTTGGGTAAGTTTTGAATCGAAATTTAAAATAAAATAAAAAAAGCAAGACGAAAATAATATTGGATGATGAATTTTAACAGTTACTATAATTATTTCGTATCTTTTTTTAGATGTATTATAAATTTATTTAGTTATTTAATAACTTATATATATAATTAATTATTTATACCATAGTTTTATATCTTAGCAAAAATTTTTTTTGGCAGAATTGATTGAATGGGTATTAAAGGATAAAAAATAAAAAATTGGTTAATTAATTTTATATATTAAGTATGAAAGTCAAAGAAAATTAAAGAAAATAAGCATTAGCTATTGTTAGAAGAATCTTGGAAAAATTTGATATAATATTATTTCAATATATTTTATGAAATTTTTTAGAGATGGTTAAAAAAAATCACGTATGCGATTGTATCCGCCGTTAAACGGCATAAAATTTTAAATGTCTATTTAATTTTTGTGGTGAAAAATGAAATCGTATTAGTGAGGAAGTTCATGCAATCTTAATTATACGGTAGGTATGCAATGATTATTTAAAAGTGCTACTTTCCAGTAGTATTATATTAGTTTTTTGATTGCCAATTATCATATAGAACAAGTGTACTTACTGTACAAACATAATATCGGAAATCCATAAATGAAAATATTCGATGAAATTAAAACTAAAATGTATTAATTAATACATACTACGAAAAAAATAAGTCTTATAAAGAAAGGAATTTTATATATCACTAGTTTAAAATTTTATTATATATGATATTAAAATTTATCATTAACTGATATACTACGGAAACATGAAGTTATGTAAAATGTTTCATGAGACATAGCATTGTTTTTTAATCTAATTAAATACATCAATTTTAAACATTCTGGCGTTTAAAGGCAATGATTGTCCCATGAAGATATTGATTTACTTATAGCTGTTCATTTTTATATCTTTTTCGCATAAAAAACTTGAATTGTGTAACATGAAACGCGTGATAATGTGTCTGCGTCAGATAGATCTGCTCCGAAGTCTTGACAATAAATTGTGATTAAAAAAACTTTCAGAATTTTAAAAAATTAAAATTTCATAAATCTAAATTCTAAACCAGTAACTATCTTTATATAAATTCAATCTTATTTGGTCAAAATTTTTCATAAACTGGGCTAAGATTGTGATTTTTTAATAAGCTCGTCCTGGAAACTGGACGCAAAACTTGGGCATACTACTTCTGATAAAGGAACTTTGATAAATTCTGTTCCATTATTATATAAATTCAAAGAGTAGCAAACACTTGAATTAAACTTGTTATTTTTTTGTGTTACTTTAAAGTCTTTAATATTCCAAGATACAGTAAATGTGGTAAAAACTTACAATAGTTTTACAGCACGTAGTGACGATGATTGGCTAAAGAAATCAATAGTTGTTTAAAAGGCAATTCTAGATCCGGAGTGGAATGAATTTCAGGAGTTTGGGTGTTTTTGAAATTTGGAGTCTCCGGCCAGAAACATAATTAAGTTCTGATGATACGGTGAGCGAATTTTACACAACGTTCGAAATGCTTATTGGTATCTTTGAATTTCGTGTGTTTGTATCTATGCTTCCGAATTAGTTTGTGTTTTGCCTACACATCTATCAAATTGCAGTATGGTGAGAACGCTTTTAATTTCTTCTCCTTATACTCCTTTTTAAGATTCTATTTCAAACCATAATTACCGAAATCTTATTTGACCATCTTGAGGAAATCATGACCATTATTTTCTGCTTGACAATAATCTACGATCAACTTCGTCAAGTTCCAAGTTTTTCTTAGACATATCAAATTTAATTATTTAGTTATATTTATATGAAATCAATTCAAGTGAACAAATCGATTTATGGCTTATGTAATATGTAATTATTATTTGTTGCTGACTTAGCCAAGTCTTTTAAAAAAACTTGTTGTCACCTGATCACCACGTTGAGGTGCAGCAACATTGATCAGGGGGAAAGGGGAGAACGAAGGGAAAGGGGAACGAAAGGGATGAAAACGACAGGGAAAGGGAGAACGAAAGGGAAAGGGAACGAAAGGGAAGAAAACGACAGGGAAAGGGAGAACGAAAGGGAAAGGGAACGAAAGGGAAAGGGGAGAACGAAAGGGAAAGGGGAGAACGGAAGGGAAAGGGGAGAACGAAAGGGAAAGGGAGAACGAAAGGGAAAGGGAGAACGAAAGGGAAAGGGGAGAACGAAGGGAAAGGGGAAAGAGCAAGGAAATACACAAACATACACACCACCCACATACAAACTCACACAAACCTGTACGTAAAAACCTAATTACCTAAAGGAAGACGTAAAGTAAAGGGGCCCAAGAATAAAGAGAAGACCTAGACAGAGAAAAGACAGACAAAAAAAAAAAAAAAAAAAAAAAATAAAGAAAACCTGACATATTTATATTATTTAAATTGTATACTTCATGAGTCACGAAAAAAAAGATTTTAGAGTGGGGGATTGATGGATGTACATATATGTAATTGTTGTTTGTATATATAAGATTATGTATAATATAATGAAATTAAAAGGGACAAATGGTAAGAAGGTTGATTATTTACTATTGTAATATTATTATATGTATAATAATTAAAAAAAAATAAAAATAAAAAATAAAAATATAAAGAGATTTTTTTTTTAACTTCCTGCCATAACAGCCCTTTGTTCAGAAGTTTGAGTATCACCGTTACCATATAATGCGGTTATTTGTCGAATCATGTTATGATCCAGAGAACTACTTCGTCTCATGCGACCATGTAAACGTCTTTGATGATGACTACATGCCGATTTGTTGTTATTATGGGATAAACTATAAGCCATGGGTGTTGATGATAGGGTTACATCCGCTGATGATTCTGCAGGAGGTGAAACAATTACTGTTGTAATAGGTGACATTGATAAATTACTTGAAATGTTTCTCGGTCCCTCCGATTTTCGTCTTGTAGACTTATGATATTCATCATCATCATCATCATCATCAACATCATCATGTGTTAAAGAATTAGGTGTAGGAAGTAAGGAATGATGACTATAAGAACGACCAGATAAACTCCTTTTTAATCTTCGATTCTTTGAAGAACGTGAAGTAGTCATCATTCTTAATTTTTCTTGTATATCTTCTGGAATTATTAATAAACCAGCAGCCAAACTGACACGACGTTGACCTTTTGTAGAAGAACTTTTTGAAGATAATGATGATGAAAAAGATTCATTAGAATCATCAGTTGATGTGGAAACTGGTAAAACAATTTCTGGTTGTGGGGGAGCATTTCTCATATTATCCCAGAATACACGATTTTCAGCCAAAATATCCAAAAATATCATTGAAGGATTTAAGAAAGAAGCAAAAGCTTCAAAATAAGGTTTAACTACGAAATCACCAAAACCAAGACTTATTTGACATTGATGAGATTGTTCACGATCCATATTAGGAGAAACTGGAAGATTATTTCCTTTTTCAAGATCACCCTGACGGAAAAATTCATCAACTACACGATCAGACCAAAGTTTAGAAATTTCCCACGGACGAACAGTATTACTAAGATCAGCAGCATGAATCAATACTTTTAGTAATAATTCACGTTGTTCAGAATCCAAAGTGACTATAATAGATGATGAAGAGGAAGATCTTGAAGAAGATCTGATGATCTTAACATGGTCATCCTTAGAAATTGGAAATTGTTTTGGAGGGTTTATTGAAATTGGGGATGATTCAGGGGATGAAGATAATGAAGTAGAAGGGGAAGAACAACCACTATCAGTTTCTTCACCAGATTCTTCTGAAGATGAAAAACCTGTAGATTCTATCATATTATGTAAAGATTCTAATAAATCAAAATGAAATGTCATATCTGTAGCTAAAATAATTCTATTTATCAAACTTTTCAAAGAAGCATTAACCTCTTGTGGATCACAACCCAAGTATTCAGTATCACATTTATGCACGTGACGGAATAACTTGTGTTTATTTATAATGTCCATAGTTAGATCACAAGAGTAATTTTCAAGAACTGATTGATCATTATATCTAATGGCCAAATCTGTTCGAGCATTTACTTGATAAACGTTATTCAAACCAGGCTATTATAAAAAGAAAAAAAAAATAAAATAAATAAATAAATTGAATATTTAATAAAGAAAAACACGTAAACATATTCAATATATAACACTTACGTGACCAATATCATGACATAAACCAGCGATGAGCAAACAAATAGCATCTAAGGATGATATATACTTTGCAGAACCTAAATCTGTCAACATATAGTATAGAACAACTACCACATCAACGGCATGTAAAAAGGAATGGTATGAAGTATTGTAATAACCTTTTTCAACATCAATTATGAAATCCAACATTTCAGATTTTCGAATATTTAAAGCACCGACAAGGTCAAGTTTAACCATCATTCCTAATATGAGACCAAATAATTCAGGTTTCGACCATTTCCATACATTAAAATGTAATCCAGTATCTTTTTCTGTAAGTTTATTATCAATGAATTTGAGCATTGTCTAAAAGGATAAGAAGAATAAAGGAAAGAGAGGTAAGTAAAATTATTTAACCTCTCTTCATTTCAAAATAATAAAAAAAAAAACAAAAAATTACTTACCCTCTCACAAATAATTAATTGGTCTGAGGAGAGCGTGTTGTGTCTAAGAACAAGCATTGTGACTAAAATATCTGTGTATTTTGATTAAACGTGAAAAAAAAAGTGGTTTATCGGGGTGTTATATATATATGCGTAACTAAAAATTTGATATTATTGTAACAAAAATAATTTTTCCTTCTTTCTTTTAAAAACAAGGAAAAAATAACAAAGTGGTGTAAAAAAAAAAATTGTTTGTTTCGTGGTTCAAAGTTTTTTTTTTTTTTAAAAAAAAGTTTATTTTACCGAGAAATGACTTAAANGACGTAAAGTAAAGGGGCCCAAGAATAAAGAGAAGACCTAGACAGAGAAAAGACAGACAAAAAAAAAAAAAGAAAAAAAAGATAAAGAAAACCTGACATATTTATATTATTTAAATTGTATACTTCATGAGTCATGACAAAACCGTCAAGATGATTATCATACATATGTGCATCAGTAATTTTTTCGCGTAAGAAACCTAACCATGCACACGTTCTTATCTATCAATATGTAGTATAAAAATTACTAATGAAAAAAAGAATAAATAAATAAAAATGTTATTTACATAATAATTTTTCAAATAAGACTAAGCTTTATTGGAGAATCAACAGTCGATATTCTTTATTTAATCAAGAGGAAAGGAGTGGGAAGAGTGAGAAAAGAGTGGGGAAGGGAAAGAAAGCGTGGGAAAGTAAGTGTAAAATGGCTTTAAAATACGAATAATTGTGACATAATAAATAAATTTTAGATTATTAGTTGGAGTTTAAAATATATTTTCTGACTCATTATTAATTTGATCATATGATAATGCATAAAATTATAATGCATAAAATTATAAGTCTTGAAATATCGATAAATTACGTATAATTCCACATGTTCGAGGACAGGTACTTTAATAATACAACAAAACTAGCGATATTATTTTTGAAGTACGAAATAAAAGTGAACGAATTATTAAACTAAGAAAATTCATTATTACCGAGAGTACAATTCCTAATTAAATTATTCCGTATATCCTGGAGCAGTAATTTATATTTAAGAATAAATTCTAATAATACTGTATTAATGAACTTTTTTACTGATTTACTAATGTAAAAGGAAGTAAGATTATGAATGACACGGAAATTCTTAAAAGAACAAATCAACAAACAGTGTTTCTATTTTATGTTACAGTTAAAATATTGCCTTATTTTTCTTTTCATTTCATAACGATCTCACTCGTAAATCTAATTAATCTACAGCCATTTGTTATAATCGGACATTTGATTTTAATTCGCCAATTATAAAATAAAATTTAAGCCAGCCAAATTTTTTAATTATAACAAGTTGCATTAAAAACCAACACAGTCGTTATAATAAATGTTTATTGTAGCGGTAAAATATAACTTATATTTATTGATGAAAATTTATATTTTTTGATAAAAAATAATATTAAAAATAATAAAATATTTACTGTATGTAATTAAAGGTTATATTCATTACGAAGCGTGATAGCAGGTTCGTAACAATTATAAGCAGCTAACTCTATATAATTTTTAGCTTTTTCTATATCTTTTGTACATTCATAACCATTATAATACATCTTTCCAACATTATACATTGCTACTTTAATGTCATCTTCAGCAGCTTGTTCAAAATATTTAAGAGCTTCTGATTCATTCTTTTCAACACCTTTGCCATTAAACAAACAATATCCATACCAAGCTTTTGCTTCAGGATGTTCATTTGCTTCATCATCAGCAACTTCCTTAAATATCTCAGCAACAATTTTATCTTTATTTGGAGGACCCTCAACCAATCCTTTTAAAATGTAAACTGCTTTATAATATTTTGCTGTGATTCGATTACGTTTTGTTGTATTTGGATTATTTGCATATTCTTCAAAACATTTATATGCGGTTTTTACATCTCCAACAGGTTTACCATTTTTTTTATACATCTTATGTTGTTTTGCTGCATCAGCAAGTGTCATGTATTTAAATGATTCAAAATCCGGTGAATTAATAGGAAGTGCATATGCATCTTGATCAATTCTGAATGCTCGTTTTGGAGGAAACTTCAGAGTGGTGGGGCTTGAACTATTAGAACTTGATGGATCTTGTGAAAGTGAATATCTCTTGACACAATTTCTAAGAACTTCAAACATTTTTGTAATTTTTGGCCTAAAATCTGGGTCTTGATGAACGGCTAAAAAGTATATAAAAAAAAAAGAAGAAATTAAGTCTAACAAAAGAAATATTATTTAAATATTTTCTTTTACATACCTTCAAATTGTAATTGTTTGAATTCTTCTGGCATTTTGCTATTTTCAGAAAATGGTTCTCTATACATTTTATTATATACCTTATCATATATTTCCAAAATATTATCAGTATCTTTATATGGAATTCTCTCTTCAGCAATTTCCCAAAGTAAGATTCCAAAACTATAAACATCACAATTTTGATCATACTTGTAACCTGGAATCGATTCAGGTGCACGATAACGAGCTCGTTCTAAAACTGGGTCTTCTATCCCTAGTATTTTATTTACTAATAGGTGGTTACGGCTTGATCTAATATTTGTAAGTTTTGCTGTCTCATTGATTGTAATTAATACATTCTTAGCTCTAATATCACGATGCATAATCTAAAAGAGAAATTTAATAATTAAATGCCTAAATAAAAATTTCATTTTTCAAATGCTGAGTTGAAATTGTTATCATGATTTACCTCTACAGTTCTTAGAAAATTTAATCCACGAGCAATATCAAGAGACACACGTAATTTTAATCTAAGGTCGAATCGGTCTTTATGGTTTGTATAAAATTCACGTAAATTTCCATGTTCAGCCCATTCAGTCACCAAATACCATGTGTTTTCATCGGGAACAAGTCCATAAAATTTTATAATATTTTCCCATTCATGAAGTTCCTTAAGAATTGTAACTTGATTTCGTATAACCTTCAAGTTCTCGTTCTTAAGAATTCTTTTAAACGCAAATTCATCACCTCCATTTTTAACACTAATCCATTTAGTTACACGTCCATCTTTACGTGATTTTTCATTATCATCTTGTTTATAATCAGACAATTTTAGTGAATGTAACTGAAAGATATAGTCAATCTTTGTTTGGTTGTGAGAAGTACTGTTCATAAATTTTTCCATTGTTTTATTCATTGCATTTACTTTTACAACTGTAGTGGAAAACTGATTACTTAAGTTTTCGAGGCCGGCTTTAATCTCATCTCCAATATCTTTTACATTAGTCGTAATTCCAATATCTTTTACGCCAGTCGCAATACCAGCCGCCATTTCTTGTAGATACTATAATTATTAAAGAGAAATAGTTTATAATTATTTTTATGCTCGAAAAAAAGATTTACAACAAACTCAATTCTTTTAATCTTACTTTAAATAAATCAACTTGATCTGCTTTTAATTGCCCGAGTTCATCATCAATATTAACGTCAATAGAAAAGGGCAGTGAATTAATACAACTATCAAATTCTTCACATAATTCTTTAAAAATTTTCTCAATATTTTTCGCTTTAATATATTTTATCAGGGATTTCATTTGAGAAATATCCGAAATAAATTTTTTGATTTGTGTTATAATATTAATTAAATTATTCGTATAAAAATAATTTTTATTATTAAAAAATTCTTCTTTACTTCTTAGATCTAGTACGACTAAGTTCACAGATTGACTTCGTTCTTTTAATATTTCACAAGTTCGTTTATTATGTTCAGCAGCTTGTGTTAATTTGACAATTTCGTTAAAATTATTTTCAATTTCAGAAATTAAAGGAACAAATTTTGTAGATGGAATAGCTATTGAAGTATTGGTTAAAACAATTAAATTAAATTTGGAAGTTGATAAATAATTTATAAAAAGAATATTTCATACCTTTTGTATTCTTAGTTAAAATGTGTCCAATTAAATTTAAAGAATATTTCTTCAACTCTCTATTATCAATATTCAAATTTTCATAACGAGAAGATAAAATACAGATACTTATTTCAATATTAACTAAAAAGTTGGTGTCACCATTGGGTTGATCATGACTTTCAGAAATTATATTTGAATCATTTGAATTTGAATTTTCAAAATTTGAACTGTTATAATTTGATTCAATTATTTGAAAATAGATATAATATTGTGACCACCCAATTACGTTAATCACAGGTTCATAATTTGTTGTTGAGCAGTAAACATTAACGGAAATTGTATATCCTTCGGATAATTGGCAAGGAGTTTTTATTGGATAGCAAGAATTATTACGCTGTAATGTAATATGTTCTTTAATGCAATAAACTAGTAATTCTCGATTTCTTGGGCTAAAAACTGACAATTTTGAAGGATTTCCAATAATCATCCACAAAATATAACATTCTCTAATATCAATATTTGTGCTATTTAAAGTTTTGATCATTGCAGTAAATCCATTAAAGTCATATAATTCAAATGAAATTAAAACATCTTTTAATCTTAAATTATTTTTCGAAATAACTGATCCAAAGACTTTATAGTTTACATTTTCTAATGATGGTTTTATGTTTATTCGCTTATAATGCTCAGTGTTGTTAACATCTGGTAAGTCTTTCAATTCTTCAATTCCTGTCATTATAATTTTAAGATCATTTTGTCTATTTAAAATAACATCTATTTTTCTCTTTTGTTCTACTTCAAGAACATCAAATGAAGAAATTACATCATCAAATTCAATAGTTTCTAAACTATCATCCATGTTTTGAGATAGATCACTTTTTCCGATAATGCTTCCCTTTGTTGTTAGAAGGTGCAAAATACTCAAATTATCTGAATGCAAATTTAAAGCTTCAAATGGTGTTGGTTTTAAATCAATCTCTTGGATATAAGACATGGAGGAGTTTGGCGAAATATATTTAAGTGGTTTTCCCAAAACAACATTTAATGGAAAAACATGCCCATATTCGTCAAATACATTTTGTAAACATATAAGTGGCTTCATACTTTCAAGTGCTTTTTCTATAGCTTGTTTGAATTCTTCTGAAGGTAAAACGTAAGACGTACTAATTCTGTATTGCTCAGTTTCTTTAATAAAAAGAAAAGAACTTATATCTTTAATTGAAAAAATATTATTAGATGTTAAAAATTCTTCTATCTTTGTTGTTGGTTTCATCATTTTCATACAAAACTTATTACTTGAATCTCCATTAGGAATTTTTGCGAAATTAATAGTAGCCATTTTTTTGCCAAGTTTTAATTTAAAATGCTTATCAATTGTTAGACCTTGGAAAAGATGATTTTTATTAATCCATCTTATTAAATTAGCATATCCTGCCCAATTTTCAAAACTTAATTTCACTTTAAAGTTGGAAGCTCCAAGTTGTTTTTCATTTATTGATGATGATTTACTAAACCTCAATTCAGAAACAGGAATTAGATCATTATAAGAATTATCGTCAATTATATTATTTTTATACAAATTCATCATCCAAATGAATTTGTCATAAAAATTCAAATCTTCCTCATTTAATGTAAGCCTTATCCTATGAAAAAAATCTAGAGAAAGTGGATTTGCAAACGGGTTTTCCTTATTATATTTAACTAAGCTGTACGCCCAAGTTAAGAGAGATTTAAATAATTCAGTTTGCGTTGAAGTGGCTGATCTAAGGTCATCGATAAATAATTTGTCGCAAGCCAAAACTTTTCTTGTAAATAGATGATCATATTTTTCATATAATGTTACGCCATTATTTGAATATCGTCTCCATTCTTTATTTTCAGTACTCCATGAATAAAAAATTTTTTTTTTAGGCCAATCAGTCAAATAAATTTTGCTAGAATTTTCTTTATTAATATTAACAATGGTTTGAAAATTTTCATAGAGTATCCATTCAAGGCATTTTGTAGAATGTATGGCATTAATTTGTGAATTCTGTATTAGTTCATCAATATTATTTTTTTCACTGGTCCAATTTTTAAAATTTTTCTTAACCCTTCTAGCGTTACAAGGTTGACACCATTCCTTTCCTGTGCCAGGCTTATTACATTCAATACATATCCCATAAACTTCTCTTTCTTCTAAATCTTCTATGTGAACTATTTGTTCAACAATATCGTCTAATTCAGTAAAAGAAACTGTGACATGTGCCTTTTATTAAATAAATGGCAATAGTTTTAATTAACATTTAAAATATTTACATTATCTATCATTATTATGATTATTTTACCTGATATTCGTCATTGTATTTCCACTTTCCAAGTTTTTGAATTAATTCCATATTTATTGAACACAAGTAAACTAAAAGGCCGGCGTGGTATGAGAGACATTCATTCATTAAACGTTTAATAAATATTGACAGTTTCCTTTTTTGACAATGAATCATCACCAATTTGTGCGATAATGAAGATGATCAGATGATCACATGATATCATATGCAACCAATATTGTTTTCGTAATGACAAATTTAACAATAAAAATTTAATTTTACTATAAACTAAGAATATTGCCGCCGTGATATGCAATGTCTTACAATTTGGAGAATTAATCTAAAGACAATTAAAGACTAAACCAAAATCCATCCTTTGATGCTTCGTTCAGCTCTTCTTTATATACTGCGTATAAGTTATACTTGAGATAAGTTATATTAAGCATATGTTATCTAAATATAAGGTATACGAATAGTCGAATACTAAGTGTAACTTACACTGTCAACATTTCGAATTTTTGCCAAATTTCGCATATGTAACACTGGAAAAAAAAAATTCATCAGGAAGTCACGGGAAAATGTACATCGCATGTTATACATTACGATGTAGATAATTTTTATACAAATTATTAGTTATTTGTTGTAAATTAAATAGCATAGTTTTATTAATTATTAATTAATAAAATACATTACTGAAATCTATATTATATATTAAGTATACGCTAAATTACTACAGTCCATTGAAATCCATGTCTATAAGACTTGAAAAATCACCTAGAAAGAAAAAAAAACTGTTAGTAACAGTCCGTTAAAAGGCAAAATAAAGAAAAGAAAAAAAATTTACACTTACCAAATCCCAAAATACACAGTGAAATTCGATAAACCGGATCTTCGATAAACCGGATTTGGCCCTAAACCGGACTTTTTTGCTGGAACCAAATCACGTATATTAAAATAGTTTCGATATACCGGAGTTTACTAGTAAAAGCTCGATATTCGATATAACGGATCAATTTTCTAACCAGCTATAGTAAAAATGATTCGATAAACCGGATCACGTGATCATTAACCAATAAAATTTAAGTAACGTGATGCGGTAAATCTTAATTTTGGCCAGAATTATAAAAATCTTAATTCCGGCCGAAGTTATATATTACTTATATATTCAATTAAAATTATTTTATATTCATTTTCAACTTAAAACTAAGATGAAAAATTAAAATATAGTGTATTTTAATTTTATTAGCATGAATTCTTTAAAAAAAATTCAGTATAATAGATTTCCAATATACCGAAATTTTTTTCGCTATACCGGATATCCCGATAAATCGGATATTTTTAGTGGAACCGATAGATCCGGTTTATCGAATTTCACTATGTATAACGAAAGTCATATTAGCACAGTTAGCATATATTCTTTAATTCCACTGTTACAGAATATAATAATAGTAAAAAATTTTAATTAATTATTTATTATTCATATTTTTTCAAGTAACTATATTCATTATCTTTATAAAATATACCGTAATTGACCTACAAACCAGTGATTCCTGTAAAGCTGTGATCTGTTGGTTACATCTTTTGAAATCAAGATATTAAATTATTTTAATAAGAAAAAAAAGGGATTTAATTTGTTTAGTTTGCAAAAAAATACATTTATTTATTTGTAATTTATAAAATAATACTATAATTTGTTACAGTACCCTGGTATTATTCAAAAACGAGGAGGGTATTATACAAGGAATAACTTTAGTCAAACATCAAATTTTGACCTAAATTAGCACCGGGTACTATCAAAAGTTGTAGTTGAATAAGTTGATAGTACCAGGGTACTACTTAAGGGGGGATACTTTTTCAGGGGGATATTGTATGCAGCGCTCTACGGTCGATGTGTTTATCAAAACATACGATCATACAAAATTTTAGAATATTACTTTCTAATTTTTTAAAGAGAAAATAACTTTTTTGCAAAATTTGATTATTGTCTTTTTTTTGATTATTTTTCGCCCATTTCCTTCTTGCAAGGATCCCATACTCCTTTATAGAAAATTTGTAGGTTTACCTAAAGAATTTATTTTATATTATTAATAAAGGCTAGTGTTCTAAATCTGTTTGTATAATTATTGAAACTACCAGTGCACTCATAACTTTTAATATTTGAAGAGAATATTATTATTCATTGTAATAAATGTGTTATGCTTCATATTTGTTAGAAAGCACACAGGATAGAAGGGTTCTCCAAGAACTGTTTGTTGGAGGAGTATTGGATATTGTTGTCGTTTGCTGGAATATGATCGTTATTTGTTGGAGGGTTATTGATGTCGTTGTTTATCTCTTGAATTTTCTATATTACATTGTTTCCTTATGGTGGACCTAAACCTTGTTACATTTTAAAGGTATTATGACTTTGACCAAAGTAGTGTTCCCTAGTGGTTGATCTGACGTCTAACATTCGACACAAAATTTCCAAGCCACACCAACAATTTTTTTGATGTTTTCTGTAAGTAATTATAACAACTTATTATTTGCATATATTAATATTTATTGAATGTAATTAATTTATTCTATGAGTAGGAGAGACTTTTATGTTAGTATATTCTAAATTTCTAAGTAGACCGGCAAGGCGGCAACCATTATTGGCTCCGCAGTCCGCAGGTTAGACGTTACATTATGTACGTTCATAAACTGTAAAAATTTATTTGCTCGATATATATACAGTATATACAACTGACGCGATTTATTTAATATATTTATTAATTTAATTTTTGAAATTTTTCTTATCTTAAGAATCGAACCAAGTCCTAAATACTTCTTTATCGATTTTCAATTATTTCAATTACCATCACATGATCGAAAACGTGGGATAGATACTTAAATCATCTTTTACATTATATAGTTTCAAGAACTTTATTAGATTTATCAATCAAGAAAATCAAACTGTTATCATTGCAGCGTAGCAATTCCTATTTCACGCATTATGGATAATTCCCGAAACGATCTCCATATACTATGCAACGAAAAGATTTTACGAATATAGAGTTTTTAAAAAACATATCTTTTTAGAATAAAACATGTGGTTTATTCTTTCCAGAAAGTTAACTATAGTGTGTGCTTTACATTTCACGTCGTTAAAATATCTCAAGAAAGTTTATTGAATAAACGCATGATGAATAATAATTATCGTAGTTATCATACCAATCGTTTCATGAGCCATCGTTCATACATTGTATTGCTATCCCTGTACCTATGACACTCATATGCATGACGCAAATGTTACAATATTTTCTTATAAAAAGCAGGTTAATAAAAAGAAAAAAACATAAAATGGCAATGGCAGAAGAGAATGAATTTTGTAAACTGTATGTTGCTGGAATCTTCAGAGGTCCCGTCAAAGAAAAAAGTGAAGAAGAAATTGATCTGCCGGGAAAGGACAAATTTTCTTATAATATAGCAGCAATACTAGCGAGAGATAGTGAAGTCGTTGCAGTAAACTTGAGAGTTTTATCCGACGGATGTGAAATTTCCATTGCTAAGAACAGTTTTTGGCTTGATAAAGATCGTGAATATGTTGAAAAAATCAAAGAAACTCTGACGAATGTATCTAAATATGCTCCTATGAAGTTCGAACAAGCATGTGATAGAGAGGATATGAGAGATTTATTTTTAACTATAAAGAAGTACTGTTTTGAAAAGCTCGAGTATATATTGGACAAACTTAGAAGGGATATAACCGAGTATGAAGACAAAGAATATATTAAATCTTTCTTAAATTATGTTAAAACAATGTTGACATATATTTTGACAATGAGGAAAAATTCACTATATCCGTGGTTTGTTACAAGTAAAATAGCAAAAAGGAATTTTACAATCCCGGAAAAATTTCTAAGCCACATTAGAAAGGTGGGATCATATGCTGGATCTTTATTTAATATCACAAATTGCCGTATAGATTTGAAATTATTGAATCCTGATGTGGTGATTCACCCCATATTACCATGGAATGGTATTGTCAAAAAATTTCTTGATCATGAAAAAGAATATGAAAGTTTCATGGAAGCATGTTTGATAGATCCTATGATAGAGTTAGACTAGAACGTATGGTGGCATAGATGCAGAACTGAATTGTGAAAGTTCTAATGAAATGTATTTACATTTTACACGCAGAATTGAACGTATTGACCAGCGTAATGAATCATGAGGAGAAAGGATTTTAAGAATTTCTAATATATTTTTCATCGGGTATTGCATTGGTATAATCACTAATTTGATGTTTTAAATTGTGCTTATTGTATCGTTATAAATTTTATAAAATAAATTAAATTAACTTATATATTCATTTATGAACGACAGATTCAGTATTATTTTGAAATTTAATTTATTTTTACTTGATTTGTTAAAAATATTATTCATTTTATTAAGCGAAAGCGTCTGATTAATAATTCCTTTGCTTTATTTAAAAATATACCTATTTTGATTCAATAAATCGTAAGTAATAACGTATGAATTTGTCATTAGTAGGTATTGTGAAAAATATTATAAGAAAAATCATTTCGTAACTGAGGATTTAATATACCATTAACGTTGGGATAAAGGAAAGAGACTTTTTTATATGTTATATATTTTTAACTGATTTCAGAATTTCAGGTAATTTACTCAAAATGCATCACCAAATACCCTATAAAAAATTTACTCCGTGATTTTTTTATTCCGTGTTATTTCCGTAAATGTATCATATTTTCACGGAGTTTTTTACAGAAATTACGGATAAAATTTTTTACATCGACTATATAACTTCTTATGTGATCCAGAAAAGGCAACGTTATATCCTTTGATTTATTGTACATATCTGATGTACAATTCACATAAATAACAGCATTTTTTTGAAACTGATATTATCAAACGTGACATACCCAACAATACGCGGTAATAATAACAGAGTTTATTTCTTTTATAGGGACTTGCAATATTAGTTGGCGAAAAAAATGATCTTTCACCCTGAATAAAGAATCGAGTGGAACTGGTATAGAACGCAATAAAATGATTTACTTTCTCTTATACTGGTTGATCTATCAATACCTAATAATGTTAAAGGAATTTCAGTTAATATATTCGTTAGATGAAGAGTTTTTTTTGGACAAGAGCAACATGAATATATTTCTGTTAATAATGTTAGTATTTATACAGTTGTTTGATCATTTGTTGTTCAATGAAGATAAGGTGTCTCGTCATCTTCAAAGCCACCACCGCAATACTCAACTTTTTGCTAAAATAGAAATTTTCCAATTTTTAATTTACCTCGCAATTTGAATCTTTGAAAGACCTTTTTTAATGAAGAGAGGACAAAGTATTAAAATGTATTAAAATGTAAGCTGCAAGGAATTTGGATTTGCAAACTCTATTTAAATTTTTTTTTACTCTTTTTCAATTACAAATTTAACAAAAATATGTCTAAACAATTTTTCCAAATTTAAGTCAAAACTACATTGAGATTTTAGAAGATGATATTACTATTGAAGTTGGTAAGATAAATATATATATTTCGTGTACATATGGTTATCCTGTATTAGTACCGTTCTACTTTTTAAGACGAACATTGACTTCCAATAAAAAGAATGATAATGGTGTCTTGACTCAAACTTCACTTTTCCTCGACTCTTCCAATTTTCCTTCTTTAGTCAAGTTTGTCTCAACATTTCAACGAAGTCCCTCTAGAGTTAATTAATAACTTTTAAATATTTAAGGTATATTTATTGTGGTATAATCTCATTAAATGAGAAAGAACCTTTAGAAATTTCAAGAGTACTATTGACCGCTACTGATCAACTTGAAATAGTTGATTATCAAGTATACTTAATTAATAATGAATTTGAATAAATAGAACAGCATTTTGGGCTTATTCTAAAATATAAAATATGACATTGTTATAAATTTTATAATTAAAAGTTTATATTGTAAAAAGACGACCTTTAAACCATAATATTAACATAATTTAATTTGACTTATAATGATATATCATAGTAATTATCTAAAATTTAAAATATTCATTTATAAACTCTCGATGGTAAAGAACTCGTTGAACGATAAATACTATTTGGTTTTAAATTACTAAATTAATTTTAAAAGTTCATTCTTCTTATTTTTATTTTAGATTATCTTTTACAATAAGGACTTTTATTTAAAAAAAAATAAAAAATAAAATTTATATTGTGAAGACAAGAAATACAAAAGAACATCAAGAACATTTATTTAAATAAATCAAACGTAAAACAAAATTAATATATAATGTTTTATTTTCTTATTTTTTCGTGATTTGAAATACCTCATAGTCTTCTATATAAAATTTATCTTCAGTATCTCTTATTCTTTTATCATAATTAGCTTGTTTACATATATTAGAATTAAATTGATTTGTTTTAGAAATATCACTCCTATATGATAATCTAAGGTCAAAACAACCAAATGCGGGACCATAATATTCATAATGATATAACGCTTTATCTATATTTTTAATGCGACTTAAAATTGAATCTTTAATCTCAACTTTATTCTTAAAAGAAAATATAAAATTATAATAAGATTGACTCCAACCACCAGAAGATGATTCCCATATTGAAGCATTATGTCCACCTAAAATTTCTCCAGTTTCTTTTACTTTAATAAATGTAATAGTATTAGGTTTATTATCACACAATTCATGAAATCTTTTAGGACTAAATCCATCTCGACTTCCACTCAATAATAATTCGAATTTATATGGTAAATATAGTTCTCTCAAATATGAAAATTTACTATTATAATCCACTTTATCGATCCATCTTGAAATAGTCGAAATTATATTTAAATTAACGATTTTTGATTCAATATTATCACTTATTCCCAAGTTCCTGGGAAATAGTATGTTGCTATCATTTGGTTCAATATCAGGATCCATATAAGAATTCAATAATTCTTTATAAAGCTGATGGTTTAAAAGTTTTTTGTATGGACTCACTTTGTGTAAAAATTCCTTGGGTGATAAACTAAAAAATCTAATTAAAGACAAACAACTTTGTAAAGTATTTTCCATCATTTTGAAATCATCATCTGTCCAAGTATCAGGATCTGAAATGAGAGTTTGATTTTGGGCAAGTCCCCATTTTAACGCATGTTCCCATACTTCAATTTCTTTCATTTGTAAATCATCCCTTTTAATAAGTGAAATCAAAGATTTTTCAGATAACGAAGTAAAATCAAGTGATTTAAATATTTTTTCAGGTGATTTAGCCATAAAATCTGTACAAAATTGTTGAAGTTCTGATAAATTATTAGATTGGAAACTTGTTCGATGTATAAGTTCAAAATGTTGTTCCATCCACTCAATTTTGTTTTCAATTAAATACTTTTGTAAATAGTCAACTAATTCTTGAAGAAGAAGTTCATCAGCAGCGGCTAATAATTTAAAAATGTCCAAGGTATCTTTTCCATCCAAAGAAAAAACACCACCATAAAGATACCTATATTAAGATTTATATAAAGTATTAAAATTTTGCATTTTAAATTAATTATGGTATGTATTACTTTACCTCAATATAATTTGAAAGGTTTCCGGCGAAATATTTGATAATTTAATATGAGCTAAGACATCATTATTCTTTTTGTTTGAAGTTAAAGTTCTTCGTAAAAATGAAGAACGGTGGCATAGGATAATCATATGTGCACGAAATATTTTTATGTTAGGATCCTTTCCAACTTCAATAGTGGTATCATAATATTCATTATCCTCTAAAATTTCAATATAATTTTGACTTAATTTTGAAAAAAATTGAATAGACATTTTAAAAGGAAAAAAAAAAATTTACCCTGCATGATCGGCTTTAAATTTGCAGGTGAATTTATATGTGTCACAATATTACATGCACCCAAGGGATTTTTTGTGTCACAGGGATGACAAATAGAGATCAGGCAACTCAAAAACTGTCGCCGAGATATTAAATTATCCGTTAATAAAGTAAACATTCTATGCATTGTTCCTTTGCATTGAACTATATCTATCTGTCTTATATTTTATTCATTTATTTCATTCCTTTGTGAGACTTGCGATGTGTCAGTCGTAGATTATGAATTAATTCATAGGGAATTTTGGCATAGTAAAATAGTTAATGGGATGATATGAATCCGATTTCAAAGTTTTTTTTTATCTTTTTTTTTCGTTTTAAAGATACACAATTTGAATCTTTGAAAAAACCTATTTTAATAAAGAGAGGACAAATTATTAAAATGTAAGCTACATGGAATTTGGATTTAATTGTTTCCATTTTAACGAAGTATACTTGATCCCTCTAGAGTTTGCACGCTTCAACCTCCTTCACCAAACAAAAACAAAAAAAAACAGTTCCAATATTTCATCAGAAAATTTCAAATATCATAAATTTTAAATATTTATATTTATAAATACTTATCTTTTACAATATAAGGTATAATTTCATTAAATGAGAAAGAACCTTTAGAGATTTTAAGAGTATTGACCGCTACTGATCAACTTTAAAATCTAAATATTCATTTATAAACTCTCGATGGTAAAGAATTCGTTAAACGATAAATACTATTTGGTTTTAAATTACTAAATTAATTTTAAAAGTTCATTCTTTTTATTTTATTTTAGATTATTAGAGCAAGTCGTGATAATGATATTAAAACTTTTTACAATAAGGACTTTTATTTAAAAAAAATAAAATAAAATTTATATTGTGAAGACAGGAATACAAAAGAACATTAAGAACATTTATCTAAATAAATTAAACGTTCAATAAAATTAATATATAATATTTTATTTTCTTATTTTTTCGTGATTTGAAATACCTCATAGTCTTCTATATAAAATTCATCTTCAGTATCTCTTATTCTTTTATCATAATTAGTTTGTTTACATATATTATAATTAAATTGATTCGCTTCAGACACATTACCATTATATGATAATCTAAGATCCAAACTACCAAATCTGGGACCACTATATTCATAATGATATAACGCTTTATCTATATTTTTAATGCGACTTAAAATTGAATCCTTAATCTCAACTTTATTCTTAAAAGAAAATATAAAACTATAATAAGATTGACTCCAACCAATAGAAGATTTCCATATTGAAGCATTATGTCCACCTAAAATTTCTCCAGTTTCTTTTACTTTAATAAATGTAATAGTATTAGGTTTATTATCACACAATTCATGAAATTTTTTAGGACTAAATCCATCTCGACTACCGCTTAATAATAATTCGAATTTGTATGGTACATATAGCTCTCTCAAATATGAAAATTTACTATTATAATCCACTTTATCGATCCATCTTGAAATAGTCGAAATTATATTTAAATTAACGATGTTTGATTCAATATTATCACTTATTTCTAAGTTCCTGGGAAGTGGTATGTTGTTATCATTTGGTTCAATATCAGGATCCATATAAGAATTCAATAAATCTTTATAAAGCTGATAGTTTAAAAGTTTTTTGTACGGACTCACTTTGTGTAAAAATTCCTTTGCTGATAAACTAAAAAATCTAATTAAAGGCAAACAACTTTGTAAAGTATTTTCCATCATTTTGAAATCATCATCTGTCCAAGTATCAGGATCTGGAACGAGAGTTTGATTTTGGGCAAGTCCCCATTTTAACACATGTTCCCATACTTCAATTTCTTTCATTTGTAAATCATCCCTTTTAATAAGTGAAATCAAAGATTTTTTAGATAACGAAGTAAAATCAAGTGATTTAAATATTTTTTCGGGTGATTTAGCCATAAAATCTGTACAAAATTTTTGAATTTCTGGCAAACTATTAGATTGAAAACTTATTCGATGAGTAAGTTCAAAGTTTTGTTCCATCCATTCAATTTTGTTTTCAATAAAATATTTTTGTAAATAATCAACTAATTCTTGAAGAAGAAGTTCATCAGCAGCAGCTAATAATTTAAAAATATCCAAGGTATCTTGTCCATTTAGCGAAAGAATGCCACCATAAAGATACCTATATTAAGATTTATATAAAGTATTAAAATTTGGCATTTTAAATTAATTATGGTATGTATTACTTTACCTCAAGATAATTTGAAAGGTTTCCGGCGAAATATTTGATAATTTAATATGAGCCAAGACATCATTATTTTTTTTGTTTGAAGTTAAAGTTCTTCGTAAAAATGAAGAACGGTGACATAGGATAATCATATGTGCACGAAATATTTTTACGTTAGGATCCTTTCCAACTTCAATAGTAGTATCATAATATTCATTATCCTCTAAAATTTCAATATAATTTTGACTTAATTTTGAAAAAAATTGAATAGACATTTTAAAAGAAAAAAAAATTTAAACTGCAGGTGAATTTATTTGTGTCACGATATTACGTACATGCGGGTATTAATAAGAATATAAGATCCGTTATTAAAGTGTTACGAGGTACATACAATGAGTATCATAACATTTATTTTATCACTATATATGTGGCGCAGGAGGAGAAGTTTATTCTGAATGATACATTTGTAGCAATAAAAAAAAAAAGAATTAAAGTGATGATCATACATCATGAAATTTTTAGGTATATGAGTGCATCGATCCACATGGATTAGTTCGGAAATATATGGAATTCCATTCCCATATATCCTACTAACACCGAAACTAACACTAAACCTAACACCAAAACACGCACCAAAACTAAAATATTGAGGACTAATGCTGTCAATATGGAGGGTTAACATGCAGTAGTTGTGATAAAAAAAAAAATATTCTCGCCTACCCTATAAAAAATTTTATCCGGTATTTCTGTAAAAAACTCCGTAAAAATGAACCTTTCACGTGATCCATTCACGGAAATTCCGTGATATAAGGTTATTAATTCCGGAAATATGAGTTACGGAAAAAAGATGGAATATAAAAAAACGGATCGACCTTTTTTTACAGGGCTAAGTTAAAAATTGGGAGTAGAATATATTTCGGGGGCTATAAGCTTCCCGCTATACCGCTGAAGTTGTGAAGAAAAAAATATTTTCGCCCCAAGTTAAAGTTGTGAATAAAAAAAAAAATTTGGGCCGGAACTCCAAAATTAGTTTTAATAATTTTAACATACGTTGATGGAAATATTAAAAATCAATTAAACAATAAAAATATGTATTTTTCGTTCATCTTTCAGGAAATAAACAAAAAATTTTTCTTTACTTTATTATAAAATTCATAATTATTATTTGCCCACCATTACTTTCTGTCTTTACGTATTCGGAAAATAATAATAATTTCCATTTTAGATATTGAAAAGAAAAAATTTGTATTACTTTATTCATATGTTTCATACGTATGAATAATAATCAACCTATAATTAATTATATTTAATTTTTTTTTTTTTTATTGTACGTAATAATATAATAATGATCTTTTTTTAGATAAGATTGCTAAACAAGTACTCGGCATGTAACCTAACAACTGCGGCAACATTGTACCTTACAGGACAATTGTACCACTGATTATATTGGAATCTTGTTTTTTTTAAACCTGACGAACATTGCCGAATTTCTGTTTACTTAAACATAACATATTAAAATATTTTGCCACGTAATCAAAGTAATTGAGTAATTGTTTTGTAAGTTTGTAACCCATCATGTGGTCAGGGTCAATTTATGATTAATAAGAAAGCGGGCATGTCGGAACATGAAATATTTATATCGTGTTACATGGCCGATCATTTTAACAATAACAAACCGAACGAACAATAACAAATACTGCGCCATTAATGGATTAACATTCAACAAGATACAAATAAGTCAATCAGAGAGAGAGATTATTATAAAAAGAACAGTTTTTAATGAAAATACATTTTCATTAACGATGAATAAACCTAACCAAGCACGAAAAAGTAACAAAAATAAAAAAAAATATTTACCAGACCCTAATAAATCAGATGAGGACATCGTTAACGAATCAAAACATCTACTTAATTGTGATGTAGATATGTTGGCGGTTAACTCAGAAACGACTCGACGGCATGAATATATGCTGAAAAATAGAATTAAACTTCCTCCACGTCCTCTAAATGCATTTATTTTATACAGAAGGGATTTGATGAATAATCCTGAATTTAAAGACAGGCCAGCTAGAGAAAAAAAAGCAAAAAAAGTTTCAAAAGAAATAGCCGACCGCTGGCATAATGAGAATGATGAAACGAAAAATGTATTCTATGCTCTCGCAAGAATTGCTAATAAAAAGCATAAAGAAATTTACAGAAATTATAAATTTATAAGAAAAATGCGAAAAAATAAAAATTCTGAGAACGTTGAAGAACCATATATACCATCTAACTCCTTCCAAACAGAAACATCCCCAGGACCATTAAATCTCATTCTCCCATCTTCAACGAATCCTACACCATCAAACTTGGTACAAGATAGTGATTTTATTTCATCCCCGAATTTAGTCAACCCCAATTTTACGTATCAGATATATGAAACATATAATGATTTTGGATTAGCAAATGTTTGTCAAACATACGATAGTTTTGGATTGACACAACAACTATATAACAGATTTGAGTTAGAAAATATTCAACAAACAAGTGATAATGTTGAACTAACAGATGAAGAATTATCAAACTTTCTTCAAACATATAATAATTTTGAATTAGCAGAGGAATCTATTTTACAAACATATGATACTTATACACAGCAACCATATAATGATTCTGAGCTAGAGTATATTCATCAAACAGATGATAGTTTTGAATTAACAAATGCTTTTCAGCAAGAAGTGTCAGATATTTTTCAAGCGTATGATAGTTTCGAATCAGCAAACATACCTCAGCAACAGCCATATAATGGTTTTACTTCTATGATGATCTTTAATTAGCGCAGTGACCATATGCTAGAGAATGATAGTAATTATGAACACTTTACAACTATACGTGAAACCGATATTAAATTTTACTAAAGAGAAAAATTAAATTGACTTGAAGCTTCCCAAAGTCGAAATGGTTTAAATTACACCATATCACATGATTTCTATAATTAGGAAAATAATATAAAATTCGAGTATTATTTATAAGGACTGAGTGTCGCAATATGAGTTTTTAGTTTAGACTTGTGTTCTTTCAGTAGATTTAGCTCGATAGTATTAGATTGATTTGGCGAAGTTAAATTTTATATTATGATCGATTATTTGGAATCATGTGATATGACGTAATTTTTACTGTTTTGACTTTGGATCGAGTTTCATGTATAGTATTATTATAAGTAACATTTTTTATTTTTTATAATCAATCTATTTATAACTAAATTTATTTTATATCATGTTAAGTTAGGGCCGTGACATATATTACGTAACATTCCTTTTATTATACGTAAGATATAGTGCAACCAATTAAATTACAATATTAGATCACATGACAAAATATTGCGTCATGGCCCATATAAAAAATCAATAAAATATCAATTTAAAACAAATATAAAATAATTTACTTTATTGTTATATTAAATTATGATAGGATTAATAGGATAAAGAGATTTTTCGACTGTTTAACCGCACAAATATTAATAAACATTTTTTTTTTTGTTTTGACAATATTATATGAAAACTTCATCGAATTCTATACATTATAATTTTATTTGTTGTGTGATATAACTTTAACGAAACAATTTTTAATTCTTTCCAAAAAAAAAATAGTGGTGCGCCCTACAATGTGATTTAATATTAACTTTAACAGTCAATTTTGATCGATAAAAGATTTTGGAAATCTGATAGTATGCATTTTTCAATAAACGGAATAAAAATGAAAAAAATCATGTAAATACCATAAAAATAACTAATCAAAAACGGACATTATAAAAGAAAAAGTATTTAAGGTTAAACCATAAATTTACAAGGAATTTAAAAAAAAGTCGAAGAAAGACATTTCATGTCCACCATTTTCAAATGAAACACTGATAAAACTTAAATTCATTAATTAAATCAGAAATAAACTATTATTGTGTGAAAGTTTTATGTTTGATCATATTACAAATCACGTTACATTTTTTGTTTTGTGGTCTACTCTGAAGCGTTTTCGATATTCAAAGTACAAAATTAAGAAAATGAAAGTAATTCATAAAGCTCTAAATATATAAGAAATTGTATTCTAATCCTCCTTTTGTGTAGAAAATTAATAGTAATAGTGTCCATAATGTAGTATAAATTTCCAACTTATTAATGCACAGTGTACACAATGTGTTTAGGGATCATGTCTGCAAGAAAGTACATGTCACAATTGTCACATATTTTATAACATTCGCCATCTGAACTAACACTCAAATTGTCCGGGTTCAATTGCCATAACAGTTGTTTACGCTCATAATAATTACAGTAGCCATATGATACTGCTATACTGCGTAAGAAAGTAAAAATATCGAAATGGCCAATATACAATAAAATGATTACAAAGTATATTTCTCGAAATCAATTAAACACTTTTATGTGATGACTACACTTTTCCTATATGAGATTTTTTTAGGATTATAATAGAAATGTACCAAATATTTTCAAGTGATCATCGAACTTAGTGCACGAACGCTACCTTTAATAAACAAGAATTAAATCAATACAAGATAATAAACGTCTAAACACAAATTTTTACTGATCAAAGTCACCACAATTTTGTAGAAAGAAACGTTACTATTTTAACAATAAAAGGTGAAATTCTTTAATTTAAAAAGGTGATCTTATTATGGTATTTGCAAAATATATCGTCAATACCAAATTATGTGTTTATCGAATTTTCTTAGTACATCGTATACAAATCCTAAAAAAGAGATTTCCTGAAATTATAAAATTTTTGGGTAAATATAAAATGATAAATTTCAAATTAATCGCTTTAATTGTTACGATTAATAAATAATACTACAGCAGTTAATTTAGTTCTCTTTATTAGTAATCGAAATGAATCAATGAAACATTGATCTACCCGATGTTGACATAAAAAATTTACTTTGTGTCAATAATGTGCGTATACTCACGTATACTAAACGAAACTAACTAGGGTAAATGCGTTATTAACTTTGGAAGATATTTTTACGGGAAATCACGTGACTTCATGACTTCAAAATATACTACCGCAGTTAATTACTACCGATCACCATTATTCACTCTTTTTTTCCCCTTAGCTTTCGCAATTAATCTTTTTTTTAATTTATTATTTTTATATATCATTATGACCGCGATTAGACAAATAGTACTTATTTTCGCTGCAATTGAAAAAAGGCTGATGCATTAATAGATTAATAGATTAAGGATTTCATTATTTAAAAAAAACATGATTTTCTAAAGTAAACAAGAATGTCTTACAATAATTGAAAAAACAGAAGTAATAAAAAAGAATAACAAAAAAAATCATGATCATGAAAACATTTTATTGAATGAACGAACAAAAAGACGTGTAAAATGTGAAAATTTTTTATAATATTTTACTTCATATTGTGAATATTGTATTCGAAAGCTATTTAAAATAAAATGGACGTCTGGAAAATTCAATTCAATTTTCTTTTTATAATTTTAATTTTATTTATTTTATTCTAAATTTTAACATCAACATCGAATGATCTAGTTGTCGATCATACGATCATACGATCACGAGGACTTGTGGCTATGCGAGTTGTTGATCAAAATTTTGGCTGAATTTATTTCCGGTCTTTTTTATTTGGCTAGTGACTGTCTCTTATACACATCTAGATGTGTATAAGAGACAGTCACAATTATTTCCAATGATGACAATGATGAAAATTTCTTAAAAAAATTTTCAAAAGATTTTTATCAAGAAATTATAGAAATTATTAATATAAAAGAACTTAATAATAAATTCCAAGATGATTTAATTGAATGGATAAATAATCTTGAAAAAGATAATGAAACAATATTAGAATTAATGGAAAATCATAAAAATAATGAAATTTGGTTTTCAAGTATTATTGGATTTTTTTATCAATATGGTATTGGTTGTAATATAAATAAAGATAAGTCATTTGAATTATATTTATTAATTATTAAAAATAATAATAATAATGATAAAAAAGAATTTTTAAATCAAACTATTAGTAAAAATTTAAATTTATTGGAAGAAAAAAATATTAAAGATTTTGATATATTTAAATATATTAATAATATTATTGGAAAATATTTATTATCATTATTTTATTATAAAGATATTATTATAGATATGATAAATTTAAAATATATGAGTGATGTTGTAATTAATTATTTAAAATCTGCTAGAAAAAATGATTCAATTGCTCAATTTAATTTAGGTTATTGTTATGGATATGGTGAAGGTGTACCACAAGATTGTGAAAAAGCATTTGAATGGTATTTTAAATCTGCTGATAATGGATATTCTAAAGGTCAAAATTATTTAGGAGGATGTTATTTTTATGGAATAGGTACAGCACAAGATTTTAATCAAGCATTTGGTTGGTACCTTAAATCAGCTAATAATGGTTATGCTGATGGTCAAAATAGTTTAGGAGAATGTTATTATTATGGAAAAGGAACAACACATGATTTAAGTAAGGCATTTAAATGGTTCGCTAAATCAGCTAGTAATGAATGTGCTAATGGTCAAAATAATTTAGGAGATTGTTATTTTTATGGAAGAGGAATATTACAAGATTATAAAAAGGCATTTAAATGGTACCTTAAATCAGCTAATAATGGATGTGCTGATGGTCAACATAATTTAGGAGATTGTTATTATTATGGATTTGGAACTTTTAAAAATTATAGAAAAGCATATGAATGGTTTTTAGCATCAGTTAATAATAGATGTATTAAAGGTTTAAATAATTTAGGTGAATGTTATTATTATGGATTAGGAGTAAAAAAAGATTATAATGAAGCATTTGAATTATTCTTTGAATCGGCCAATTATGGATTTCCTGATGGTCAAAATAATTTAGGTGAATGTTATTATTATGGAAGAGGTACAAGACAAGATTATGAAAAGGCATTTGAATGGTTTTCTAAATCGGCAAATGGTGGATTCCCTAAAGGTCAAAATAATTTAGGAGAATGTTATTATAATGGGAAAGGAACAAAACAAGATTATGATAAGGCGTTTGAATGTTTTGCTTTATCAGCAGATGATGAATGTGGCGAAGGTCAAAATAATTTAGGAGAATGTTATTATTATGGAAGAGGAATTCAACAAAATTATAAAAAAGCATTTGAATGGTATTCTAAATCAGCTGCTAATGAATGTGCTGAAGGTAAAAATAATATAGGAGAATGTTATTATTATGGAAGAGGAATTCAACAAAATTATGAAAAAGCATTTGAATGGTATGAAAAATCAGCTAATAAAAGTACTAAAGGTTTAAATAATTTAGGAAAATGTTATCGTTATGGAATAGGAACAAAACAAAATTATAAAAGAGCATTTGAATGTTATTCCAAATCAGCTGATAAAGGTTGTGCTAAAGGTCAAAATAATTTAGGAAATTGTTATAGAGATGGAATTGGAACAGATAAAGATATTAATAAGGCGTTTAAATGGTATAATAAATCAGCTAATAGTGGAAATATTAGTGGTCAAAGTAACTTAGGATATTGTTATGAATATGGTGAAGGAGTAGCACAAGATTATGAGAAAGCATTTAAATGGTATTCTAAATCAGCAAAGTATGGCTATAATACGTGATTCGTTATCTGTTATGTTTTAAATTTGATGTTTAAACTTTCTATTTTTTTTTCAATTTACTCATTTGTTAATATTTTATGACAAGTTAATAAAGTATATTTTACTCTTATATTAGTGTTAAGTAACTACTTCTATATATACTTTACACCCGATTTAGGTTAAAGTTTATATCCTATTTATTCACATGATTCAATATGATCTCGTCACTATTATATTAAACAGAGTTTAATAGTCATTCAAATTAATCTTTAATGTATTCCATTTCAGGAAGTGATTATTAGAAGAACGCATCACGAGATCACTCGGCCTTTATATAAATGAAATTCATATAATGCGGTAAATATTATACGGATGATATTGTACATTCTATCTTTTTAACGTTATATTATTTCATAATATTTTTCTTAAATTACTTCTTTCAAATTATTTTTGTTTTAAAAATTATTGGGAGGATCGATGGCTTTCAAATCTGTGATTTCTCTTGTTTCTTTTTACTTTAAGAATGGAAGGTTTCAAACTTGTTAAATAATATATACGAGAAATTTCAGAAAGTAATCTATATTTCTTTAAATTTATAAGGTAATTATAATTCTTTTAAATGCACAATTTGCTATCTATATCAACTTATCTAAGAATAATTAACAATTAGTGTCGTTAAAGAAATTTCAAAAAAATTCGTCCCTAATAAAAATTTTAAAGATATAAAATTTAATCTCATGTCCACAAATCAAAGATTTTCCCGAGTGATTTTTAGCGTACAAACAATAAAAAACAATAAATTATTAAAAATGACAATTCAGTCTGAATCATTTTTAAAAAGTATGCTTGTTAATCGTGACAACAACCGAAACTTTAAATTTCTAATATCCTTTATCGGTTTAAAATATTCTCATAATTTTATATATTGAACTATCATCTTATTTAGCAACATCATTCTTAGGTTCGTCATAATTCATAAATATAGAGAACGGCGGCGTGATGTAATCATATGTGCACGTTCGAGTCTCATTAACCTCAATATTAACATCACAATATTTTTCATCGAGTAGACATTGTTTTAGTTTTGAAAGAAATTAGAAATTAACATTGATTTACAAGTGGTAAAATCTAAAAAAAAATACAGGTACTTTAGTAAATAATAATTTATCTTGTCCTCTTTATTCTTTAATTAATAAATAGTGATCTTATTACCACATCATTTTCGTAATTGCATCGACAATTGCAACGCAAAAAAATGACGAATCGCTCACTTTATTGTATAGTCGAGTTACTTTTGTATAAACATAATAGCCGACCGAAGTCGATACTCTAATTATTCGCATTAGTTTGTTCAATGTATAAAAAAAATGAGAAATCAATTGACAAATTAAATACAAGAAAAACTATAAAAAAAAAAAAAGATTATTTATTGAAGAATTTTATACTTGTACTTTAATGTTTAACGTGTGAACCCGAAAATAGGTGAAAATTGAAATTTTTTTTTTGAGCGTCCGTACTATTTTCTATTACCGTACTGTACTAATTTACTATATACTCTCGTTAGATATATGTATATGTTTACTCAACTATTATTGTATTATTATTAACGTAAGCAAAACAAAAATAACTAAGTTGACAATTACAAATAGAGTCGATATAGTTCTCAAAAAAAAAAGCGAATTAAATATGAATGGTAGCAGATAAAATGTGCCTAATATAGGAATGTAAGAGTAAAATTAGTGCCAAAACTTTATTATTTGTTTAATAACAATATTCATAGTAAAATTACCACATGCAATCAAATTACAATTGTATGTATAACAATTGAATAAATTCGTTTTCATCATATTAATAATAAATTGCTGGAATCGTTAAATGACTCTTCAGATAATTTCGCTTAATGAAATATGAGACGCACTAACAAAATCGGTTGGTGTAAAAGTTCAGCTGGTTTTTAAATGTTTTTTTTACTTTCTAAAATTGAGATCCTACCAAGGCATGTCATTTGAACAAAATTGACTAATCAATTACATCTGAAATCGAAATGAAATTATTTCACGTAATCATACAAAATTAACCTTGGTTTTACCTAGATTATTTTCATCCTATTTCTGGCAATAATTTATTATGCAAAATATCATCTGAACTGCAAAACTTAAATTTGGATATTGTAAAATGACTTAAATGAAAAATGACCTTAACGACTAGGATTTAAAAGGTTATTTCAAAGTCAAATGAACTGCTCATGTTAATATGTTTGAGATTTACATTTTAAAATAGATGAAAGCATTTTTTTATTTTAGTATGGTACACATATGAATTTTGAAATTGAAACTTCAAAATAATGTATTTAGGAGATTTACAGTGAAGCATGCGGATTTAAAATATTTGCGTTATACAAAACGTAAATGTTGAACTTTTTTTATAAAATTGACTAATTAATTAATTATCATTTATTTAAGAATTCATGTACTTACGATAATTGAATTAAATTTGGACTTTTATTATTTTTCTAATATTAACTAGGACGCTCATTTCATTATTCATTTCTCATTATAGTATGTCACGATTGTCACGACTGTCACATAGAACTATAGAATTCTTTGCATTGTTATATAGAATTCTCGTAAACATTTCTTAGAATTGTATCTCCTAGAAATTGTGTATAGAATTCGAAAAAAGAATTTCTTGTTATATTAAGAAATTTTTCTTTGTTTTATGATTTTTTCTGTGCAACAATGAGGCTTGATGATTGACATACATTTCCGATCGAATGTGTAATGCTTGTTATGATTAACGCTAATAAATATTATTACCATATATACCTATACTAATAAAGGCGTTTTTTTTTTAAAAAAAAGGATACTACTTATATTATCTTTTCCAGTTAGAGAGAATTTTAATATAATTATATAGTAATGGCTCTCAGTAATGATAAAGGTAATAATCATATGTATAGTATAAACATTTAATACAATCAAATTCTAATATTTTTAAATAAATTTAATAATAATAATAAAACTAGTTTATGGTAATATTGAATTTGAAGGAAGCAGTTCCGTAGAATTTGAAGGAAGTGGCTCTGAGGAATTTAAGGAATTCAAGGGAAGTGGTTCTGAAGAATTTGAAGAAAGTAGTATCAAGGAATCTAAAGGTATATTAAACATGCTAAAATATTAAAATTTTATTTGTAAATACATTTAAATGCCACATATAATAATACCTTACATAATATGCAAATATAATTTAAACTAACTATGTTATACAAAAATAATATTAAATAATTTAGCTCGTAAGTTAATAGGTTATCTTATAATTGAATAATAATGGAATTACTTATCATTTTTTTTTTACATTTCATGTAATTAAATAATTTATTTAATGATCAATGTAATACTATAGTCAGTAAGTTATTAGTTATTTAAATCTTTAATTCTTTATTTTATTTTATTTATTTACATAATGTTCGAATAACTAAATTTTTTATTTGATTAACTATTTAATAATTAATTGTATTACAGATGGCGAGTTACAATATCATACTTTATTTGTTTAATATTTTATATAACCCAACTAATTACTAGTTGAAAGTAATTATATTAATATAATACATTCCTTCTAAAAAAAAAACTTGATTATGAGAAATCAATTAGGTATGCCCTAAGTACCTTCTAACTTTGAACAAAGCTAAAGCTGGATATGAAAAAATAATAAATTCATTATCTAAAAAATAGAATTTTTCTAATTTCCCGCCGGTGATTATAACTACCCCAACGGCACCCAGAAAATTCTTCGAACTCGGCCGGCGTTATGCATTGACACGTGATCGAAGAATTTAGGATGTGATGAATAAAACGTGACAAATAGAATTTCATCTACTTGAAAAAATCTAAGTCCCTCAGATAAATATAAACAGTGAAACTCGGACAGGGCGTGACGATGTGATAAATAAAAACAGATCACGTGATCGAAGAATTTTTCTGGGTGATATGGTGATTATTGCCTATCACATGATTAGTATAACACGTGATATTTGTAACGTGATTATAGCCATGCAATCATAATTAAATCCTAAGAATTTCACTCAAATAAGCCAATCGGTCGGTTATCTAGCTCTTCTCACCCTGGTTTTTCAACAGTATTGCATATCTGCACCCATAAAGCTATCTAGTGTAAAGAATCGTATATCATCAAGAGGGAAAGTGGGTTTTGATACTTTGTGGAGCATAATGAGCAACATTATTATTGCAATAATAGTATTATGGTTATGTGTTCTTCATTATGTTAATATTGTACAGACATGGACTATTTATCTTTCTAATTGTCGATTTCTCTGTTTATACATAAGACCAATAACCTTCATTGATTTACAAATTCTTCAAATGCCCTATAAGAAATATGTGTACGGAAAGGATACGTTTTGTATACATTTTATGTACATTTCTATAGATTCCGTATACAAATTCCGTATATTTAATAAGCAATTCATTTTTGAACATTTTTTAAAAAAACTAATGTATAAGAAATGTATACGGAAAAATTAAATCATACGGAATGTATACGGAATTTTTAAACTTAATATTTTTAGAAAATAATTTTACAAAAATCTCGTATCATAACACGAGATCACGTGATTGTTTATTGTTTTGTTATGATACGTTTTTTGTTTTTATATAAACCCTTACTTTGATGAGTTTGATCTTCCGATCTTCCTTTCTGTCTTTCCCTTCCTTCTCTTTTCTCTTGTCTTATTTTTGTTATTTTTTC